TTAAAATGGTCTATGAATCAAGTTGTATAGTCTCATCAAGTTTGCTTCAAGGAGCATGGTATCTTTTCTAGAATGACAGTGAGAAAGAGTGTCTTCTGACTAATTAAACTCCAATTCTAGGTGCTGTAAAACAGTGGATGGGCTTAGCTTCTTCTCTTTTTAAGTTATAGCTGAACACTTTGATTGATTAGATGAAGTGAATACAACCATGACACATAGGAAGACAAGCAAAGTCCTTGATACTGATGACATATAATTTCATTATTGGAACCAGAAGAAATGTAAACATCCAAACCTCTTGCCTAGTTACTCTCAGAAAAAAAAATTTATCAACAAATATTGTAAAGCTAAGATTGGTATTTTGTGCAGCCAAAACCAAATAACTCCAACTTTCAGGTTTCGGTAGTCCATTTTCCAGTTGAATCATCCTAGCAATTGCATTGGGGGGTAAACTACTCCTTTAAAATAAGAAGTTTAATAGGGCCCTTGTTTAGGTTACTTTATGGTTCAGATAGAAAAAAAACGAACACTCATAAAATGGTCTCATCCAAATCAATCTTTCCCCTTTCTTTATGGTCTGCAACTGTGGCTTCTCAATCAAGAATGTGTCTGAGCACTTAAGATTTGTAAACTATCTTTTGCAAAAATTTTAAAACACAGTTTTGTTTCCATCCACAGTTCATCCCATTGTACTACCTGGAGAAGCACATAAATAATTATTACTTTTACCAAGAGACTGTCAAGCCTGCGGACGTTGGAAGCATGAGTCCTTTTTCTATCAACAATAAAAATGGCTACTGTTAATTGGTAAGTACATAGTATGAACCACATGGCCTGTATGTTAGCCCTAGTCCTCACCACATCTTTTCAAATTAGGAATTATATTTTGATAAAGCTTAAAGAGATTAAATAAATTGTCAGAGGTCATACAGGAAGTTACCTAATTGCACACTCGATGTTCTTTCTATCATACTACATCTGAAAATTTAGAATACTAGTACCAAGCAATCCCGAGATCACATATATTGTTCATTCATTCAATAACTAGTTAATGAGGCCTATTCAACTCAAGCACTGGTGTCACAGTGGTTAAGTGCTCAGCTGCTAACCAAGAAGTTGGCAGTTCAAATCTACCAGCTGCTCCTTGGAAACCGTATGGGGCAGGTCTACTGTGTCCTATAGGGTTACTATGAGTCAGAATCGACTTAACAACAATGGGTTTGTTTTGTGTTTTTTGTATTCGACTCAAACTGAAAGCATAGTTGAGATCATTGATATCTGATATCTAGTCTAAGGAGCATATCTATTCATTGCCCTAGCTCTCAATGATTTGTCCCTAAATCAAATTAGGTGAAGAGATCAGCATAACTGGACCAGGTTAGCTTAGCTTCCCAAATAATTTATTTTCATGTACATCTTTTATTTTGCATTAACCACCAGGAGAAATGGACACGTGATAAACATTTTGATAGCCCCCACGAAACCACAGGGAAGGCATTGTCCTCTCTTCCCCACAATATTACATACAGAGAGCTCTATTTATTAAATTCCATTTGGAACTTAATGTCAGTACAAAGTTTGCATGATTTTTTGACAAGTTGAAATGCTTCCTTTTTAAAAGTCAGACAAGGAGAACCATAAAATCTGTATTTTCTTTTTTTGCCTTTGTTGCGGAGAAGCAGAAAGTAATCTCAGTGGCAGTAACTGCCTCATTTTAGGGCCATTTGATTATTTTTCATTCTCTAAGAGGTTTCTAATGTCTCTTTTAAGTCTTGGTTTTAACTCTTTTATTTTTTTAAAGTAGATAGTCAATATATAAAGACAAAAGAAAGAGTAATTTGGATATTATGGTTCCCTACGCTTTTACAAACTTGACCAAAAGAAATCAGGCTTCTTACAGGTTCCAGCAACTCTTTCCCAAGAGACCTTAACATTCAATTTTTGTTAAACATTCTACAATAAGCATAAAGTTCTTAGTTAACACTTAGAATCTTTGCACTTTCCAGAAAATTTTCCATGTGTGGGATAAAAGTTATGGGAAACTTAACACAGGAAGCAGAGAGAATTATGGCAAATTCACCACAGTACCAAAAATGTACTCAAAACAAAATTGGTTAATTGTCAGTATTCCACAAAGTCATCATTAAGTTCACTGGTGCAAGTAAAATGGGCAACAAAAAAAAAAAAAAAAGAGTCTAACCTGAAAATGCATAGACATTGTATTCCTGAAATTTATAACAGAGGTGAAAATATAATTCTTTCAGTTTTTTCCTCATGATACTACATTGTTCGCATATTTCAGTAAGAAAGTTTTCAATGTATAAGAAATAAATCACTTGGAAGTTCATTAATGGTTTAATACCATGAAATGACTTAAGACACTGAGAAAGCATAAATGTATGTATCCCTAATGGCCAAGAAGAATTACTGAACTTTAAAATAAACCAAATGCACTTTATGAATTTGTTAGGGATCTCAAGTGAAGCCACTCTATTTACAAAAGTTTATAAAAATTTTGTCTATACTTTCCATTGAATTAGATTTATTCCTTTTGGAAGAATGACATCAGAGCTCAACAAAACTGTTGCATGACCAGTAAAAAAGAAAAACAAATTAAAATCAAGAACACTGTTGTAGTTGATAAATTTAAAAAGTAAACCCTGGTGGCGTAGTGGTTAAGTGCTACAGCAGCTAACGAAAAGGTCGGTAGTTTCAATTCACCAGGCGCTCCTTGGAAACTCCATGCGGGCAGTTCTACTCTGTCCTATAGGGTCGCTATGAGTCGGAATCGACTCCACGGCAAAGGGTTTTTTTTTATAGAGTAGTAACATAGAAGTTTGTACTACTTTATAAATTCCACAATATACAAATTATCTACATTAAGAGATATTTTGCAATATATCTGACGTGGACTCACCTGAATTAATGCATGATTGTCTTTGGAAAACACCGAATCCCCTGACAGCAAAAGAGGCTCGCTTTTCTCACAGCTCTCCGGGCCGATTAGCTTGTCAGCGTAGTTGGGCTGAGGGAAGATCAGGTGACTCTTCCGCGAGTCCGCGGTGAGGGAGACCTCGTGAGAATAGGTCTGCAGGAAGGCCTGCAC